CCGGTAAAAAAGCAACTTTTTATTTTACAGTGTTATCTATTCGTGGGAGATTTGCGTCTGCAATTTTTGGACCAGTCAGGCAGATGGGGAGTTCTCTGGGAAACGACAGGCAGATACCATTTCTTCGGCAGTCGTGCCCCTTCGTCTGGAGTAAGAGCCTGTCGTTCTGTTCCATTCTGCTTGATTAGTAAGCGAGTGGGGAAAACCCCTTTTGTATAAAATGCTGGCTTCTCTAAGTGCCCGTGATGCGTTTGAGGAGTGTGGCAGAGAATAAGTCCACAAATAAGTTTTTTCCAGCAAATTTTTCAGGCAGGTTGGTAGAGCCTTGGGCAGCTTGCATAATGTTCTCTTTTGTGGAGAAGTAGTGGGGGCACAGTGGTTGGGAGAAACTTAGGTCATGGCAGGCAATAGATTCGGTCCAAATGGACATCTTGGTCTGAGAAGCCTGGAACAAGTGCTGTGAACAAGGCCGTGGCGTACGACTGAAGTTCCGAAGGCTTAATGCCATCCGGAATGCCCCTACGGTAGATATTATTGCACCAGTCCCCGTCTTCATGGTCAGCGACTGGTTATTAGAGAGTAGTGATGCACCGAACGGTTCACTGGCGAACAGTTCCTGGCGAACATAGTGTGTTTGCGTCCTCCGCAGACGGCGAACACATGCGCGGTTCGATCCGCCCCTATTCGTCATCATTGAGTAAACTTTGACCCTGTACCTCACAGTCAGCAGACACATTCCAGCCAATTAGCAGCACACCCTCACTAGCAGACCCTCCCACCTACTGGACAGCATCCATTTTAGATTCATTCTCAAGCTGCATGCTTAGTGAGAGGAAGGAAAGTGTAGCTGCTGTTGATTAGATAGGGAAATGCATAGCTAGGTTAGGGTATACAGTGTCCATTACAGTCCTGAAGGACTCATCTGATCTCTGCTGTAAGGACAGCACCCCAAAAAGCCCCTTTTAGGGCTAGAACATCAGTCTGCTTTTTTTTTTTCTGTGTAATGTAATTGCAGTTAGTTGTCTGCCACTGCTGCCAGCTTCTGTGTCAGGCTCACAGTGGATACTGTGCCCATTTGCCCAGTCAGTGCCACCACTCATATCTGGTGTCACAATAGCTTGCATTTAAAAACAAAAAACTTTTTTCACTGGTATAGATTGAATAGCAGTTAGTTGTCTGCCACTGCTGCCAGCTTCTGTGTCAGGCTTACAGTGGATACTGTGCCCATTTGCCCAGTCAGTGCCACCACTCACTCACTGGTGTCACAATAGCTTGCATTTAAAAACAAAAAACTTTTTTCACTGTTATAGATTGAATAGCAGTCAGTGTCCTTAAAGCGGGTGTGTCAGGCTCACAGTGGATACAGTGCCCATTTGCCCAGTCAGTGCTACCACTCATATCTGGTGTCACAATAGCTTGCATTTAAAAACAAAAAACTTTTTTCACTGTTATAGATTGAATAGCAGTCAGTGTCCTTAAAGCGGGTGTGTCAGGCTCACAGTGGATACTGTGCCCATTTGCCCAGTGCCACGACTCATATCTGGTGTCACAATAGCTTAAGCTTGATATTTAAAAAGAAAAAAAATTTTTTTCACTGTAATAGATTGAATAGCAGTTAGTTGTCTGCAAGCGTCTGGGTGTCAGGCCTCCTTCAGCGTGTGCTCTGCAGACCTTTGCCCGTGTACTTTGCCACTCATATCTGGTGTCTCTATAGCGTTCTTTTACAAAGAAAACGTTTTTCAGTGTAAGCTAATAGCAGTCAGTGTCCTTAAAGCGGGTGTCAGGCCTCCTTCAGCGTGTGCTCTGCAGACCTCTGCCAGTGTACTTTGCCACTCATATCTGGTGTCACAATAGCATGCATTTAAAACCCAAAAACTTTTTTCACTGTTATAGATTGAATAGCAGTTAGTTGTCTCAAAGCGGGTGTGTCAGGCTCACAGTGGATACTGTGCCCAGTGCCACCACTCACTCACTAGTGTCACAATAGCTTGCATTTAAAAACAAAAAACTTTTTTCACTGTTATAGATTGAATAGCAGTTAGTTTTCTCAAAGCGGGTGTGTCAGGCTCACAGTGGATATTGTGCCCAGTGCCAACACTCACTCACTGGTGTCACAATAGCTTCCATTTAAAAACAAAAAACTTTTTTCACTGTTATAGATTCAATAGCAGTTAGTTGTCTCAAAGCAGGTGTGTCAGGCTCACAGTGGATACTGTGCCCAGTGCCACCACTCACTCACTGGTGTCACAATAACTTGCATTTAAAAACAAAAAACTTTTTTCACTGTTATAGATTGAATAGCAGTTAAATGTCTCAAAGGGGGTGTGTCAGGCTCACAGTGGATACAGTGCCCAGTGCCACCACTCACTCACTGGTGTCACAATAATAGCTGTACTTAAAACAAAACTCTTTTCACTGTT